TGTGTTTCGTTGTGAAAGCGAAACTACTTTGTTTGGCCTTCCAAAAATGGACACGACTGATGTTCCAGAACACTTCAACCCAAATATTCAGATGTGTCCAGCACAATTTATGGAGGACTGTTTCCTGATCCTGGTAGAGTAGACTACAATGCCGGCTGTTCTGACTCACGGACTGTAAGTATGTTTTTTATATTTAAAGAGTTTTTATATTTTATTATATTTAAAGCAAGTTTTTTGGGCAGTGTAGAGTAGGGCTTGTTGTTTGTCATTTCTCCGATCACAAATGCAGACATGGTTTTATGTTTACACGCAACGCAATGCGTAAAAAGACAGTATAAGTCATTATGATCCATAATTATGTCCCCACTGGATGCAACGAATGCCTCGTTTATAATGGGTTTCCATGTTTTTGAATCATCGCTCCGGCCTGACAGGGCATCATCACAATATGGTAAGGGGCGTAACATTTCCATCACACACTTGAGGTATTCGTTCAATCATAACGCACTGGATAGCTGGCCAATCACAGCACACCTTGCTTTTCAGACCGATGAGCTTTGTAAAAATCGATGTGTTTCAGAAAGGCGGGGCATAGAGGAGAAACAATAATATACAGTATGTGGAAAATAATGTGTTTTTTAACCTTAAACCGCATAAACACATTTCATTACACCAAATACACAAAATAATGTTCTTTTTAGCAACATCATATGACCCCTTTAAAGTATAACTTATTCCTGTGATGGAAACGCTGATTCATTCTAATTATGCTGGTTTGGTGTTTAAAGGTAGGGTAGGCGATTCCGGAAAGGCTAGCGATAGCAAGCTTTGAAAGCAAGATCCCCACTCTCCCTGCAAAAACAATTTGCAAAGCCACGCCGCCTCCAAACCAGGCATCAGTAGTGTTGCCAAGTCCGCGTTTTTTTCCGTGGAATTGGGCTACTTTAGGGATAGTTCACCCAAAAATGAAAATTCTGTCATTAATTACTCACCTTCATGTTGTTCCAAACCCGTAAAACCTTCGTTCATCTTCGGAACACAAATTAAGATATTTTTGATCA